TTGCTTCAGACAGAGCATGAACTGCCTCTTTCCAGTAAGAATGTCAGAGGATAAACTGGGACAAGAGATTTTGGAGAAAAATAAAATTCACAAAATGTAAGGATCGTTAGTTCTGCTTACTTAGAGAATACCACACCTTTGTAAAAACATAACACACCTTATTTTCAACTTTGAACATTTTACCTGTAATCTAATCTGTGAGCTCATATCTTCAGTACTAACAGAAAATCAAAAAACAATTAAGATCAGAAATCAGATAGTGCCAGAAAATTTAGTTACCAGCTCTAGATACAACTGGTAGGGTGGGCTGCAAATTTTGGTAACTCCTGGACTACCCAAAACCAGCACATCCTGAACCCACAAATTAACAGAGAGACATGAGATAAAGCCAGCAGTCAAGCTCTATTACACACACATGGACCATTCAGACTAGGAAACTAGAAACTTAGAGGCCCAGAAAGGTAGTGGCAAACAGCCCAGAAACTAACAGGAAAGGTCCTGAAACACATGGGACAGAGAGGAGAGCAAAACTTCCTCTACCTCTTTTATCCATTAGAGACACTACCAGTGAAGGTGTCATAAATGCTCCACATGTTTCTTTAAAGATCAAAAGGGAGCATAAAGCCTTACTTTAATCAGCAGGACTGTTTCTATACCCCTCATATCGATCAAGCAATTGGCAACCACTGGGTTATCTATTTCCAATGCTGTCAGAACTGATGGGAATTCTGGATGGTGAACAGCTCTGAAGAAAAGAAAAAAATAGCATTCATAAAACTCATGTGAGATTCTTAAAAAAAAAATTACCAATAGTTCTTTTCAATAATCAAGGCTAAACAACAAAATTCAAAACATACTTACCTCTGACTAGTATCATAAATTTTATTCTGAAATTTATTTACAATTATTTGAGGTCTATGTCCACGTGCATAATATTTTGACATCAGTAACTGAAGAGTTCTTTCATCGCTATGATTATCACAGCAAAACGCCTGAAGTAGGCCTTTTAAACAGGATTCAATAGCCAAGATCAGTTCAGGATCTTTTGGATGAATCAAAGCACCTAAATAAACATAAGAAGCAAGGCTGAAGGTGCTGTGTTCCATGACAAAACATTCAGTAGAGCATTTTTACCACTCAAGGATCTTGTGTTGTTGTATTGCAGGTTTTTTTAAGAGTCTAAAATAAACCTTTCTCACAGGCAGAATAAAAAATTAAGAGGTTGACTAAAAGTTGAAAGACTCTACAACAGACCTGAGAACACTAACATATAATTATGTTATATATGTCTGCCTAGAGACACCTACACATAGTTGGAGGCCTGTGTTTTCTTCCATTAGGGTACCAATTTTATGGCAGCTTAGCAGAAATGCATCAAGGCAAAGATAGCTTATCAACAATTTAATGCTTTAACAATGAAGGCAGTGGAACTGTACTGCAAATTAAACCAACATGAAGATTTCCATTATATCATTTGTCTTCAGCAGCACACGTTTGTACATTCTTACCCTGCAGTAAATGCCGTGTACTTTACATCCAGAATATGCTGAAACCTTTCCTCCCATTCACAAACGGAAAGTATCAGCCATTGTCAGTGCTGAACAGAAGACAGATAAAAGCAGGCCTCCCAAGAAAATCTCAGTTGGGTCTGCCTGACTTGTTCCATACAAAACATCTCAAATTTGACAAACCCTCAAGTCAGCCACTGGACATTTTGAACAAAATCTGTCCAAGATCTGGACAGTGCTATCTACTGAGGAAGAAGCACTCAAAGCACAGTTCTCTGATGCTTTGAGCGTGTGGGGGAGTTGGAGGGATGCACTGGAAGTTTACCACTGTAAAACACCTCAACAAAAACAGCTGGAAAATGAGGAAGGCCAGTAGCTGTTAGTGAGTGCCTGACAGAAGCAAAAGGTAACCTACCAGGATAAAACCTTTAGTCCAAGAAGTACAGAAGAAAAAAGCTCTTTAAAGAACAAAGTTTCCCTGAAAGACCACTATTGCACATTAGCAGCCATAAAAAATATCCTATGAGAAAATATGTTTTAGGAATTATTATTACCTAAAGGTCCAAGAGGTTTCTTTCTAAAGCGTCCTTGTTTATGGGCTACTTCAAGTGCTTCAAGAAATGCTGGTACATGTGGTCCAAATCTTTTCAAAGTGTTTGTTTTACTGTCTTTCAGGTCTCTCAACTGTTTCTGCTGGGCATCCAGTGCTTGTTGCACTTCACTTCTTTCTCTCCTAAGATAACAGATTTTTTTCAGTAGTTATAGAGCTTAAAGTGCACTAAAATAATTATATAGCCTTGTTTTTCAATTACTAATAGCACTGTGTATCAAGATGTCAGTAGTTCAGTGTAAAGCTATGTACACACATGCAATATTTTATGGCTTCAAGAAACATGAGGAAAAAAAAGCAAGAGAGAAAATTACTATGTTGCAACAGTTCTACAAGACTTATTTCTAACAAATTATAATAAATTTATTTTATTTCTAATTATATGCTTCAATTTCACTGTCTTCAAAGATCTTCAACAAAACACACAGTAAGCATTTTTTACAATAATTGATAAGAGGCATTTAAACTAATACACCAGGTGCAATAAGGAACAATTCTCAAATCCTTTAATGACATTGCCATAATCCCCTCTGGTAATCATTGCTCAAGTTCATGTTTCCAAATTAAAGCCAGAGTGCTTTGTTTTTTTCTGTTTTGGTTATGGGCTAAAATAATATTTGAACCACTCTGCCTCAAAGACTCTGTGAGTCTGCCTTAAGTATAGAAGTAGTAATTACTCCTAAGTGTATCTATTCTCTTGTAATGTGAAAAAAACCTGGAGCCTAACACCTCAGGGATCACAGGTACCTAAGAAGGGATACATAAAAAAGGGTTTTTCTCTAACTTGAAACAGAGGCAAACAATTACATTCAAAAAGCATAACTTACCTGAGTCTAGAATGTTCTTCCCTACACTTAGATATAGCCTGCTGAAATTGATCCACCTGCTGATCAATCATTATTTCTTCATCATGGTATGCCTTTAACTGTTCCCTTAGGTATGCAATTCTCCTTTGTCTTTCCAATTTCTCAGGCTCTGAAACCTGATTAGCACTAGAAAAGAACATACATCCATATTTTAAAACCGTACTGATGCTTTACAAGTGACATGAATTACTTGTAGCATACAGAAGATTTAATCATCAGTTACATTTAAGATTCTGCTAACTTGCAGGATCTACGTAGCAATAATGCCAATTTTAAATATTTTTTTAAAATTTCTAATAACATGTAACTCCCCCTAGCTACATTCCTATTGCGTTTAGTTTAAGACGTATTTGTTTTGCATTATCGTGGAAGCGAGAGTATCTATCATCACCAAAAACAAAACAAAACAACCCCAAAACAAACAAACAAACCCCACAAACAAGCAAACAAACAATAAAGAAGCCACTTTTGCTACGCAACTGCCTCTTCTTTTGACATTCTAGTCAAAATCTCAGTATGTAAAGAAGCAGGATCAGAAAAATCCAGGTATTTAACTGGACCCTCCTAAAGACTAAATAAATATTTTCTATTACTGCAGATTTTCTCATTAATCAGAAAAGCTTTCTTCTTTACAACCTAGATCTTAATAAACATACAACATAATCACTGTATCTGTATTTACCAGCTTTTCAGTTCTTCAATTCGTTTACATAGCTGTGTACTGTCTTTTTCCAGACGTTTTAACTCTGTTTTGGAACGATTACAAATGATCTATCAAGGAAATAGGATACAGTAGTTTAAGAAATAGAAATAATTTCTGAAGGAACTACAGTTTTGAGTAAATACTGAACTGCACCAAACCAGACAGACATAACTTGATTTTCAAAAATTACATTTATGTATTGATTTTGATCTAAGCTTAACACTGTTTAGTAACTATGTAAAGACACAAATACCAGGACCCCCAAACAGACACTACTTGCCAGGCAGGCAGAAACTGCACCTTCTCTGAACTCCACTAAGGACTCAAGAAGCAAAGACACAGGTGCAGAATTACAGATGGGTAAAGCATGGACAAGTCTAAAGCTTTAAATTGACATGAACTTTGAAAGAATTTTTTTTGCCTACCTCAGTTTCATTGACTGCTTTTCTTTTTGCCTGCACTTCAGCCTTCAAAGAAATATACTGAGGATGAAGGGCTTGTGCTTCTTCACTCACTGTTATCAATTTGTCTTGTATTGCTTTGTACTTTTTTTCTGCTTCATTCACTTTTGCCTTTGGTGAAAAAACAACAAAACAAGTAGTAATGGAACAAAATTTTCTTCAAAATCCTCTTAATGTTACAGGACAAATATCTCTCAAAAGGATCCATCTGACACCTCTCAATTGCTTGAGTTTTGTTGGGTTTAAAAAAACAAAGCAAGTCATTGCCACTATGGATATGCTATGATGAAAACTCATAAATGTTCATTCTTGGGAAATGAACAGACTACCAAATCTGTCATGCAGACAGCTTTTTTTCTATCTCAAATTTTACTCAAACACAGAACTCTAAATACAGCAAGGTCAAGTACCATGATATCAAAAGAAAACAAACAGTGTCTAGACAATGTTCCTTCATCAATACATAGACATGAAAGCAAAAATGCCTCAACTGTGAAACTAACACTTTTTAAAAGAAAGAAAAAAAATAAAAACATTTTTTAAAAAGGAAATTACGTGCTAACAGAGAAGGTTTAGAGGAGTATTTATAGACTGAAATGTTTTGGGGCTATTCAGCCTAGAGAAGTGGAGGTTGCATGAAGACCTCATAGCAGCCTTTCAGTATCTGAAGGGGGGCTTACAAAGAAGCTGGAGAGGGGCTCTTCATTATGTGTTGATACAATAAGGAAAAATTGGTTTAAACTGCAAGAGGGGAAATTTAGGTTAGACGTATGGAATGAATTCTTTACTGTGGGGATAACGAGGCACTGGCACAGGCTGCCCAGAGAAGCTGTGGATGCCCCATCCCTGGAAGTGTTCAGTGCCAGGTGGGATGGGGCTTTGAGCAGTGTGACCCAGTGGAAGATGTCTCTGCCCATGGCAGGGAGGGTGGAACTGGATGATCTTTAAGGTCTCTTCCCACCCAAACTATTCTATGATTCTGGATTCAAAATAATGATGCCCATTTATCTGCACAAAATGTGTTTCATATGCAAATGATAATGACAATTGAATGAAATTATAATGAAATGACAAAATTATTCTTTCTTGCCACATACAGAAGTCATAAGAACCATCCCAAAGTTTCCATAGCTCCACTGAAATCACTGATCATTTCTAAAGTTAGTGATACTCAAGAAAACCTTCACGACCGATTTCTGATTTGGGGGGTGACCACAGGTAGAGTGATATATGGTTTAGACCATATATGTACCTGGCATTCTTCTACCTTCTGAAGGAACTCTGTATTTCCTTCTTCAGCTCTGATGCCTTCTTTGAGCAGCTCTATTTCTTTTTCCATCTCACTCACCTAAAGAGAAGTCTATATTAGCATATCCACAGCAGACTGGGAATGAAGCACATTTCACATAAACAAACATATTTTATCAAGACATTTACCACTGCCCACGCCATTTGATGTTTCAAATCTTTGAGACGACTTTGCATGTCATTCACAAATGCAATGCTTTTGAAAATTTCCTTCTTTTCCAAGTAAAGCTTCTTAAGTTCTTCAAGACGCTTAAAAAAGAAAACAGGGATTCAATCATGACTGCAAAAAGCTGTGATATAATATAAAATTTTGGAAAGATTTAGGTTTTTTGAAATTTAATGTCACTGAGAACTAATAAATCCAAAACTATGCAGTTTAACTCCTGTACTTCCTTCACTGCTTATATCTGTCCTAATAATTAATTTAACTTTTACATACCTCTTCCCCTTGTTCTATCTGAACACGGGTATTTTTTTTAGTTTTCCCAATAAATGAATAATCTTCTTTCATTTGTTCCAGCTGAGTTGCCTTCATAAAAAACTAAAAAGGAATAAAAAGATGCAGATGTGAGATCAGCACCTTATCTAAGTGGACCTTCAATAATTACGACAGACAGACCATTCACCCCAGCATCCCTGCATGCTGAATGATATCCAAAGTGAAAAAACTGGTCAGGTTGTGGTAGTACAACTTCCACCCCCTGCTTGGGCCACAATGTGATATTTGAATTGTTTGTTAGGCTCCAGACTTGATGAAGAGCAGCTGGTTCAGTTCCTCTTGAGTTTATCAGAAACCCTCTATACTCCCAGGAACTTTTACTGTCTGACAAGCTTCTTTTTCTAATGAAGAGCCTTTGAAACTTGTTTTTCTTGCCTAACAACCCAAACCGAACAACATTTTTGTTACTGAATTTTCAAAGAAAGTTACTGACCTGAATTGTGGTCAGTATGAAAAATTACTATGACTAAAGCCCACCCTCCTGGTGGTCCTCTTGGGACCTATAAACAATGGTCCCCAGTGAGACCCACTGAGCTCTCCTGGACTGCAGTGGGCTGTTACAGCATCTCCCTCTGAGTGAGACACCACTGTGAGCCACTGAACTCTCAAGTTTACTTCGAGGACTGCTGTCAGAAGATGCCAGAGCCTGGGGTGATACCCCCACTCCTCAGGGATCAACCCTTCACCCAACAAGAAGACCCAAAGGCATTTGACATGAGTACTTTTCTGAGCTCCAGGGGAATTCTTCACAGGTATACAACTTGTACATGCTCTTTAAGTCTGTTTATACACAAGTATGCATATTGCATAGCAACTGTATTATGAATGTTTCTTAAGATTAAGTACTTAGATTAGTAAGAAAATTAGGTCTACGAGTGAGTTACCATTGTGCTACTGTAAATTCAGTAAGAATCTTCTGTTAAACTGTTTAAATCAGGCTACTAATTAAGTACCGTTAAGTTAAAGCACTTTCAAAACCTTTAGGCCTAAACTGCTGTCAAGACTAGACATAAGTTTGGTAAGGGGGTCCTTTCTGCATCTTGTGACTTAATGGGAAGGTCTCCCTTACTCCTTTTTATCCTTACCTTTTTACCATTCCAACCTCCATGTAGATCATTTTAGGTTGATTTTGGTTTTGGATTAATTGATTTTAGGTTTTAGTCCAATTTTCCTCTTGTGCATCTATATAAGTAGGAAAGTGAACCTTTGCAAAAAGCTTAGCCACACTTTAATATTAAACCTGCTTTTGCTGATACTTGTGCCAGTGGCTCTTTGAGCAACTTAAAACACTCATTTCCAACAGAGAATATTCTGAATAAGGAATTAACTCAGCAGTGCCCTAAAATTTAAATTTATCCATCTCTTTAGAGAGAAGAATCTTCAAAAATGTTTGTGTATGTGGATGATTGGTGCAATTGGCTCTGGTTGGAATGGAATTAAATTTCTTTACAGCAACTGTTATGGTGCTGTATTTTAGACATGTGATCAAAACAATACTGACTACACACTCATATTTTAACTGCAGCACTGAGGTCTCCTGTTTCTCCCTCTGCCCTCCCAGTGAATAAATACACTGGCAAGGTGCACAAGACCTCGGGAGGGATACAACCAGGCAGATGATGCAAGCAGCCAGAGATATGCCACCTCAGAAACCATCATTGTGATGATTTAGCCACAGCCACTCACTCAGCCACCCACAGCCACCCACTCACTTTCCCTTGGGGTGTGATCGGGAAAAGAATCAGAAAAGTAAAAGCAAGAAAGCACAGTGGCTGAGATAAAATCGTTTAATAAAGCAAAAGCTACACACAGAAGCCAAGCAAAACAAGGAATTCATCACTTCCCAGGGCAGTCAGGTGTTCAGCCACTCCCAGGAAAGCAGGGCTCCATCATGCCTAACAGTGACTTGGGAGGACAAATGCATCATTCAAAACAGCCCCCAATTCCTTCATCTTCCCCCAGCTCTATATGCTGAGCATGATGCCATATGGTCTGGGATATCCCTTTTGTCAGCTGGGGTCATTGGTTCTGGATGTGACCTCTCCCAACTCCCTGAGCACCCCCAGCCTCCTTGCTGGTGGGATGGGAAAAGAAAAAAAAGCCTTAACTCTGTGTAAGCCCTGCTCAGCTGTTACAAAAACAGTAGTAATGAAAACATCTCCACATTATCAATACTATTTTCAGCACAAATCCAGTGTAGCCCTATACAAGCTGCCATGAAGAAAATTAACTCTAACCCAGCCCAAACCAGCAGAGTCATGCTCAGCAATAAAAACAGATAAGGGAGGGTTTAGGGGGATTAGCCATCTTTTGCTTGGGCACTGGTTGGGCCTCAGTCTACCAATAGGAAGTGGTGAGTAAGTGCCTTTGCAACTTTTTTGTTTCACTTTCTTTCTCCTTCTAGCTTTCCCTTCAGTTATTATACAATTTTTATCTCATCCCTCTAATTTATTTTTCTTTTTACTTTTACTCTTCATTTCCCATTACCCAATCCCAAGCTTGGGGAAGCACAGAAGGAAAGTGAGGGAGTGGTTGTGTGGTATTTAGCTACTTACCTGAGTTAGCCCAAAACAGGTTACTAAAATTAAGGAATTTGATTTTTTTTCCCAAATGCTATAAAAATTTTCAATCAGGATTTTAATGTCTTATGACTATGTTAAGTTGCTTTTCTTACCTTGTACTTGTCACCTTCATTTTTAGTCTGTAAAAACTGTTTGCTCATCTCTTGGGTTAAAACAGACACAGGATTATCTACCTGCAAAAATAAATCATTTTCATTTTATTTTAATTACAAGTTACCATGTAACTGCAAATGCAAGAAAGTGAGCACCCTGTTCCAATCTTGCAACTGAGTAATAAGCTAATGTTCAGAAATCAAGTTTTCTAATCCTTTCAAGTCTTTAAAAAAACCAAAACATAACAAACAAAACCAATAACAAATAGAAAATTTTAAAATCCAACTATATCAAGGACAAAATAAAAACATAGCAAGAACAACTAAGGAACTGCTTCCAAGGGGATACATGACTTCTATAAAAACAGTTACCTGTAAGTTCCACTTATTTAACAATATCAGGAGTAGAAATGCTTTTTGTATCAAAGCACTGCAATAAATGCAATGAATTGGCTCACATATTCTTATAGATGTTACCACAAAATAAGACCAATACATACTAACTGAAATTTCTATTATTTTAAATTCTAAGTATGTTGAATATTTTAAACTTCATATGCACTACCTGATCTTTTATTAATCACTTAGGCAATAAAACCACATTCAAATTTCTGAAACATCAAGAAGTGAAATAATCACCAGAAAAAAAAAAACCTCTAGAAATGAAAGAAACCTACATATGTCAATATTTTTACCAACAGGATACATGTCTCAACAGGATACATGACTCACAGGTCACAGGTAACAGCAAATACTTATCTGTCTGGGACAGAATCCTATTCTGCATTGCATGAGGTATACATTTAAATTTTTCTTTTGCTGATGAATTTGATCTTTAAATAATATAGAAGAGGTGAAACTCTCTCCTTTAAGGAATGGTACATTTCTTTTTAACTGAAAAATTATAATATCACATGCCAATGTCTTCTTAAATTGCACAGCATTTAAACACTACAACAATTACCTGTATATTAAAGTGATCCAGTATTCCTATGAGTTCCTCTTTCTTTGAAGAAATTATGCTCCCTAGTGGTAAAAAACAAAAGGAAAAATATCAGTAAGTACAATTCCTCAGTCTTTTGTTCTTGTAGAAAATGTAAAAAATGAGATCAGTCTTTTTGTAAAACAAACTTAGTCCTAAATGAGAAACATTGGTTAGGAATTCTTTTATTATTTTTTCAATATATTTCCATTTGCACAGAAAGACTTCTAATTGAAATCCTTCTTTACTTCATAAACCCTCTGTGACAGAATTTAGATAAATCAGCAAATTCAATAAAACCTCAAAAAAGACTAAAAATTATTTCAGCCTCATCACACAAGCAGATTTTTGTAAAAACAAATACATAATGTAACATACTACTAAATAATACATATCAATAAATACATAATGCTTTTGACAAACAAAAATATTCTTAGCTTGGGATAAAAACAAAAAAAATGGACATTGTCATCACGCTTGAATGATTTTATGAAAAGAGAAACATCCTCCTTTACTAACATCAAGGCATTCAAAGCCATGAACAAGTTTAGAGACAAGACTGAGAACAAAGCAAACTACCACCAACCAGATTTGCTTCTCAGTTTGCAAGTTCTGCTTCCATCCTGATTAATGTGCTGATTCACAGTAATAGAGGTACCGTACAATTCTGGCTTAAATGCATCTCTTCCCTGGTTTCGCAAAGTTATGGAAATATCTGCAGAACTAAAAGAAATAATAACAATGGAAAAGACAACTGAAATTAATCTCAAATCTAAAAGCAACAACAAAAAATCAAAATATTTTAATTTTCCATACAAATTGTCATGTATCCTACAGGTCACAGCTGCAAGTCAGTCATTGTACCAATCAGAAGAATATGTATTTATTTGGTTTGAACCATAACAACATTAGACACATTGCTTGTTTAAAAGCCAGCAGGAATAATAAACCCAACTGAAGCTGCCACCTTTCCTTCACACCCTTCCCACAGTGGAGGAAACAATAGGAGATATTGTAAGATGGAATCACGATTTACTGCAAAACCTCAAAACCACAACAGTATTAATAAGAGTGTACAAAACATAGTGTTTTATCCACAGAAGGGTATTCACCACCAAAGAAAAATGCTTCCCCAAGACAGTGCCTGGCATGGTTTGCCAGGCAAAGGCAAAATTACAACTGGCCTTGTGCTGGGCCATGTAGCTAGTGCATGAGCAAACGAAGGCACTACGCCAGGGATGCTCATGGCTTAACTTTCCCCTTGTCCAGCCCAGAAATGGAAAAACAGGGACAAGACAAAACCTGGTGGGACCTGACAGGGCTCTGAAACAGGTCAGGGGACCCTTTTCCTGGGCCTGACTGTGCACAAGTGGGACTGTGAACAAGTGGAACTCTGGCAGTGGTGGTGCTGCACTGCTGCTGCAGTGGTGGCTCCAGTGGCTGCTGCCATCATGGCAGCTCTGGCAGCAGTGGTGCTGCACTGCTGCTGCAGTGGTGGCTCCAGTGGCTGCTGCCATCATGGCAGCTCTGGCAGCAGTGGTGCTGCACTGCTGCTGCAGTGGTGGCTCCTGTGGCTGCTGCTGTCACTGCAGCTCTGGCTGCGGCTCCACACAGGTTGCCTCGACTCTGCTCCGTGCCGCTGCTGTTCCCTCTGATGCCTGAAGTTTTAGCTTTCATATTTTCTGGATTCTGTACTGCCTTGGTATATGTCTGAACTTCATATAAAGTGTTAATAAGTTCTCTTCACAGTTTACTTAGACAAAACAACCCATTTCCAGCCCAACAACCAAGGACATCGTTGCAGTTTCAGGCCAGAAAAGTATGAACAACAGTGAATTGAGGAGAGCAGTCTGGGAGGATGGGACTTTATAACCTGAAGCTGTAATTGTACAATTATCCCCAATATGTAAATGGACCAAAACTTATACAAACGTGAAGACTCGTGACTCATTGTCCATCTTGGGTGTAGCCACGGTCAACCTCTGGTACTGCCCAAGGTGTATCCTTTGAATGCCTTTTAAATAAATACCTACTTCATTCCTTTAACACTGTCTAGCCTCTGCTCTAGGCAGCCTCTCAAGGTATCACCTCCCTTTTCTTTTTCTCTGAGTGGCATCTTGGGCTTGCTGGCACTGTCTTTCTGCACCAAACCAGAAAAGCCATAGCTCGGAGGAAAGGGAAAGGGGCTGTGTCTTGGGGTGATTTTATGATGGTGCTCTATTCCCAATTGTCTGCTTTATGCTTAAAACTGGCTGCTGTGGCTTTCAGGTGAATTCAGAGGACAGGCAGGAGCCTTTGTTTGTGTTCAAGCACAAACGGGCTGGGCGCTGTGGAGAGCAGTGGTTACTTAGTTGTTTAGCTAACTCGATTTTTGTAGCTTAAGCATGAAGCTTTTTCCCTCCAGCCACCTTTGCCCTGGACAGCAGCGTCAACCCTTCCGTAGGTTTTGTTTTTTGTTGAACTGTTTCAGCTTGGTTTTGACCTGAGATCAGATAATCACCGAGACCAGCAGCAGGGGTCACTCTAGTGAGCCCGAAACCTTGGGCAAAGATGAACCAACTAGAGAAAGGACACCAAAATCCACCAGCTTCATCTGCTGTGAGGAGGGGACCAATGCCACAGGTTCAACAGGTTCCCATCTGTTTTACCCAAGCTGCTGCTCAAACTTTTTCCTCTTCCCTGAGACAAAGGCCAGCTGCTACTTTGTCCCCCCTTTTTCACGCTGCCAGCCTGTTTATTTCTTTTCCTGTCATTTTGAGGTGTTTTGTTCTGCTGTGGGTGGCGGGGGGAGTGTGTGTGTGGGGGGGGTAAGGTTCTCCAAGTTCAATATCTAGCATTTATTCAATTTTTTTGTGTCGTGTGGGCACTTCATTAGTTAATAAACAGCATTTTTTCACTTTTACCCACTGGTATTCATTTTCTCATTTGCAAAAGGGATTATTAAAGCCATTCTCTTTAGAGGAGACAACCATTCCAGAGTGTTTCTCCAAAACCTGTCTCTAAACCAAGACACACTGCCACTGGCAGAGAGGGGCAAAGTCTGCTGGCCTGACCCTGAAACCTACATGCCACCTCCCTTAAGCCTGGCAAAAGCAAAAGCTGGTGATCCTTCTGCTTCTGGCCCCAGCTTCCTTGTGCCAACACCACTGCTGTGCCATGATGTGAGTGGTATGGAATCAAACACTGCCAGAAACTCCAGCCCTCTTCTCTATAACCATGTCAGACACACTGCTGTCATACACTGACTGCTTGCACCTCCCTATGCTTAACCTAAATAATGAGCCAAAAGCAAATATTTGTGAGAGAAGATTTCTTCCATCTTCCCTTCTTGTCTGAGTGCTATCACTTTACATTGCAGAATTAAGCTGCTGTTTGGTAGTTCTCCTTTCTCCAAACTGGCTTCTGTATAAAAGAGTTTTCTGGTTTCTGCAGCCTAACCAAAGTAATCTATAGCAGAATGCTCAAAGCATTCGTCTAGAAAAGATGAGATGTGAATGTGTTCCAAATTCCCATTTCCTGTTTCTCAGATGAGTGCTAAAACATTAAGTTAATACACAAGTACTACCAACAACTTTACTCTTAAGCACCTCTGAAAGAAAAAGGCTGGGACCCTGAATAACAACTTCATGTAAACATAAACTCCTAAACCTCCTATGTTTTTACTGGTTTCCCTAAACACATGATCCCCACTCTCACAGCACACGAATCCACTTCTTGCATGTTTAAATATCCAGCTGTAAGTTAAGGTCTCTATATTGTATATTCATTCACCAGAAAAACTGAAAAATAATTAACCTCACTGCTTGCAAAACAATGGTAACTTGCTCTTGATAACTAGTAAGTTCACTTACCAGTGAACTCCATTTTTCTGTAGCATATTCAATTACAGTATGGAAGTAATATATGAGAACAGGGAATACAGAGAACATATCACGATGTTAGCTAGTTCAGTGTCCCAGCTTCAGGCACAGTAAATTTGCTTGCCATTACTGTGAGGGGCAGAGCCCAGAGCCATGTGAGTGTTATTCTATGCCCCACACATCATCCCTGGGGGCACAGCTTCAGCTGGAAGAGCAGAACAGGAAGTGGAACTGCCATCATTTTGTTCCTTTATTCCAGGGAAAGTGGACGGCTAGTGAAGCAGTGGGGTGGCTCCAGTCCTAGTGTGGGGTTGGTGTGTCATTGTTTTTCTCATCTTGGCTTGGGGAGGGAATGTGGGTGTGGACAATTTGTCCACCATTGGTTTTGTTTTTTTCACAACACGGGCACAGACACTTCCATTTGCCATTTTTTTCTTTGTCTAAGGAGATGCATGACTGGGGCTGTGGTACAGCTGCCTTGAGTCAGTGAACATTTTTGTTTGTAATCGCCCTCTTTTACACACTGTTGTTATTAGTATTGTTGCTGTTAATGTTTGTTTTCCTTATCTCGTTAATGGCTTTTTTCAGCACATTTTTATTTCAACCCATAATGTCTACCTTTATCCCTCTCTCACTGGAGGGGAAAGAGACCAGCTGTTTGGAGTTTAATTTCCAGCTGGTTTCAAACTACAACATTCAGAAATAACAGCACACTAGTGGCAAAACTTCTGAAGTTTTTTGTTTTCAGGGTTTGCGGTTTTTTTGTGGGGGGAGGATGTTGTTTAAATATAGTCTCATCAGTGTTATGCTTTTAATTGAAGTCTGGTGGATCCCATAAGAAGATGAAGAAAATAAGCATAAACAGAAAACTCTTAAGCTCATCTCAATGACAATCACCAAGCTACATATGCAACTTTAGAATTCTACTTACGTCTCTCCTTTTTGAATAAACATTTTTAATGAGGAACCTCTGTTAGTTGCAGTGGCTTTTCCACCAAGTCCAACAATTAGTGCTGTTAATACTGAACTTTTTCCACCTGTAATTGAAGCATTGAACTTGCTTTAAAAAGAAGATACTTAGCTTCTACTCCAGCCACATTAACAGTTTTTTGACTTCTTACATATTCATGTATTAGAAGACCAAAGTCTGTCCTTATTGAACATATAAAGTAACAGTAACACTAGTAAAGTATCTGCCATTTTCAAGGTTCTCCCTAAAAAAACCCAATATGCTGAGCCAAACTTCTGTTACTTCTATTTAGCAATTTGCATTCAAGATGTTGTAGGTCAGAAGGAAGGAATCTCTCCTTTCTTAAAAGCTTACTTGAAGTGTGCATGCAACAAAAGAAATCAAACACACATTACCATTTATCTGTTTATAAAGCTTTTAAACTCTCTTTCAAAATTTTTATTTTTTAAAATTCTTTCTTCAGAAGAAGTGAGCTCATATAAAGAGGTATCACTTCCTTTTCCTGTAATAGTTTCTATGTGCCCCATACTGTCCCAGGTTAGCTAGAACAGAGTTCCCCTTCTACCTAGTAGCTTGTACAGTGCTGTGTTTTGGGTTCAGCATGACAGCAATGCTAATAACATGCTCATGTTTTGGTTGTTGCTAAGTAGCAAAGTCGAGGACTCTTTGGTGTCTCATGCTCTGCCAGTGAGGAGGTGCGCAAGAAGGCAGGAGGGAGCCCGGCCAGGAGAACTGACCCAAGCTGGCCAAAGGGATATTCCACACAATAGAATGTCATGCCCAGTGTGTAAACTCGGGGATGCTGTCCAGGAGCCACCGATTGCTGCTCAGGGATGGACTGGTTGTGAGAAACTGTATTATGCACAATTTGTTTCTCTTGGGTTTTATTTCTCTCCTTTTTCCTGCTTTTCATTATGATAATTATTATATTTTATTTTGATTATTAAGTCTTACCCCAAACCACGGGTTTTACCTTTTTCCAATTCTCCTTCTCATTCCACTAGGGGACATGGGAAAATGACTGAGTAGCCACATGGCATTTAGTTGCCAAAAGGAATTAAATGACAACAGTCCTTTCTAGCACCCAATGTGGGGCTCAAAGGGTTCATATAACTGATCAGAGTATGTTAAAACAAACTTGCTGTAAGAATTCATGATATTAGTTTAATATCACAATGATGATTTATTTGCTCTCAGAGTCATCGTGCTGGTTCTCAGATCTGCATTATGTAACACCTTCCTCATAGCATGCACTCCCTGCTTTGCTGTTTCTCACCTTCGGGGCCTGGGCTAAGGCTATCATTTTGAAGTACTCTGTCATGCCAGCTGATAAGATATGCTATGACAAATGACACGATACGACATGTGGGAACTGCTGGCCGTGGAACTCCCGGTCCGTGCACTCGGCAGCACCCCTGGGCTGCGGGAGCCATCTAGCGCAACTGTTCTCAATTACACCTGGCACCCTTCCTCCTCCGAGCGCCAGCCCAGAGAGACACACCTCCCCTGCTTCTCCAGACTAAATGCAACAGCTTTTAAAAATCTGGGAATTCCTTGAAAAGCTGAAACCATCAGGAAGCAGGATGCTGCTGAATGTGGTTCAGATCTAGTTTAGCATTATGCAACTATCAGCAGAACTTCAACCCCCATTACAATCACTGTGGCTACTTCAAACTCAGTGAAGGGCACTGCAGGCACTTGGACAATTACTGTGCTTTTAATAATAAACATCTAACTACATTTAGTTCAAATAAAAATTTATGCATTATTTAGCTATTAAAATATTTGTATTCACATTATCTTTTCCAAAAATCTCCAATGTTATAGACCTAATTCATCAGCCTTCAACTACTGGGATAGACCTGTGTAGTACCTCAGTGAATCCAAAAGTGAATCCTTATCCTTGCCTGAAAGATGGCTAGCAATTCTTTTTTCAAATAAAAATCACATCTTCTACATTATTAACAGAAGTGTTCTTTGAGAAAGACACTATGTGATTAATACTTACTGCCATTGGTTCCAACAACGAAATTGAGATTTGATCCAAACTGAAAAGGCCCCAGATTTGAATGGCACATGAAGTTCTTCAGCTGGATACTTTCAATTATGCCAACTTCACCATCAGGCTAAAGAATGAACAATTAAAACTCAAGTTACGTATGCATTTTAGTGAGATTAAGTTTATAAATTTTAAACGCAGTGAGAATTAAAATGACAGTACGATATAAAACATCGGCTGTTACAAGCCCCAAGGAAACAGAAGAGTTTCATGACACTGCCTAAAGCTGTTTGCTATAGTGCAGTTACATAGTAAAATAAAAAGTTACCAAAACTGATTCTTCACACATAGTAACTTTCAGTTCTCCCTATTACTAATTTATTATCAATACAACATAAAATATTAAGATACTAGATCCACACAGTTGGCTGACCAAGTTAAAGCATGTTATTAAGGGCATTATCCAAATGTCTTGTAAATACTGACAAGTTTGGAGCAACAACCATCTCTCTAGGCAGCTGCGCCGGCTTTGGGTTCTGGTAGCAGGGGCAGGAAGCTACAGGGATGGCTTCTGTAAGAACCTGCCAGAAACTTCCCTGTGTCTGACAGAGCCACTGCCATTCCCCAGCCACCCCCAAGACAGACCCACTGCTGGCCAAGGCTGAGCCCATATGCAACAGCATTAGTGCCTCCAGGCTAAGAGTCAGCAAAGGGAAACTGCAACTGCAGCAACTGCAGCCAAAGAGAGGAGTGAGAATATATGAGAGGAGCAGCTCTGCAGACACCAAGGTCAGTGAAGGAGGGGCACAAGGTCCTCCAGGCATCAGAGCAGAGATCCACCTGCAGCCCACAGAGAACCCTATGCTGGATCAGGTGGATTCCCAAAGGAGGCTGGGACTCTATGGGAAGTCTACCCTGGAGCAGGCTCCTGGCAGGACCTGTGGCCTATGGAGAGAGAAGTGCACCAGAGCAGGTTTGCTGGCAGCACCTGGGACCCGGTGGGGGACCCACACTGGAACAGGCTGTTCCTGAGGAACTGCATCCTGTGGAAAGTATCCACACTGGAGCACAGAACGAGTGAGTCCTCCCTCTGAAGAGGAAGGAGTGGCAGAGACAACACATAATGAACTGACTGCAGCCCCCATTCCCTGCGCTGTTGCAGGAAGAAGAAAATTGGGAGAGAAGATGAGCCAAGAAAGGGAGGAAAGGTCTTAAAATTTGGGTTCGTTTCTCATTATCTCTCAAATACCGATTTGATTGTAAATAAACTCAGTTAATTTCCCCAGGCTGTTTTGCCCACGATAGCCACTGGGGAATGATCTCTTTCTGCTCTTATCTCAACGACAAGCCTTTTGTTGTATTTTCTATCCCCTGCCCAGGAGAGGAGGGCAGTGAGAGAGTGGTTTTGGTGCACACCTGGCATCCATACAGGTTCAACCTCCCAGAGAAGTCTGATCCAGTATCTTACCACTGGTAAAGAAATGTTTCCTAATGTTCAGTCTAAATACACAGGACAGTATTTGCAATCTCAAAAATATTTTTTTAAAAATCTTCTATCAAACTAAAATTAAACTACTGAAAGAAAAGCAGAAAAAAAATAATATTCCTGTTTTCAAGTTTCTTTTCTATCAGAATTTGCATTTCAAACACTAGGTTTTTTTAGTCATCTGAAAGTGCCATCTATACAAAACAAATAAGTATTTGGCACTTCTTTTAGTAAATAATTAGTTTTCCAAATATTTTGTCTGCTTTTACTACAACTATAAATGAAAAATACCATAGTTCTGTCAAAATCCATTTCCTTCATTTACTTGACAACTGCAGTAGTATTCCTTCTACTAAATCAGAACATTGTTATTTTATGATCAACTATTATAACTAGATAACCAAGAAGAAATAAGCTAAGAATAACCTCATGCAGAAGTCCTCATTACAGACAGTATCCCTAGTTTCTTTTATCTTTGTTCTACTGACGCCTACATCCAAGACATTTATTTCAATAAGAACTTTTCTTCTATCTTCATCTCTATGACATTTTGAACTACTTACCGACTGTGAAGAGGCACTACAATCATCAGTATGTACATCTGTGTATTCTTTTCTCTGTCTTTTCTGGGACCCAGGATTTGGAACACTTTCTTCCTTTCTCTTACCCATGAGTACTGAAAATGAAAATAATGAAATATAGGTTTCAGTCTTCTAGGTGACAACATACCCACAGGTGACAACACAGACATACCGAATTCTTTACTTTAGTAAAACAAATATTAAAATCACAGCAAACATTGCAACAAATACTTTCCCAGAACTGAAATCTCAGTAATTTAAGGCTATGCTTACTATTAAAGAGTTGCATCAAAACAAAAGAAACACGGCTTCATTATTCTAATCAAGCTGAATGTGTTGATTAAAAATAAAATCAATCTTGATTCTGTTTCCCTTGGTACATTAGACTTTGGAATACATGCTAGAATTGTTTTTGGTTAGCAAAGGAGTTCAAGATTAGTGGTAAAAAGTACATAACTAACATAGTATAATCAGCAGCATCAATAGAGGTTTGATTAAAGTCAGCTGCATGGGTAAAAACAGTGTATTAATTATTTGTGGTTGACAAAAGCCAAGAAAATTAATATGCAGAACACATAAAAGTAGAATAAAGGAAAATTTAAATTCATAGCACTGTTCCTGTTTCTTACACACAAGGTACTATAATATGATCACAATAAACAAAGTTCTCCTAATAAAGGATAACTATTCTCTCTATATAAAGGACACACGTATGAGTTTCCTCTACAATTCAATACGTAACACACAGACTTCCACCACTAATGGGACTGGTCTGAAACAAATCTTGCAAAACTAACAAGCTTTAATAAAACATATCAAAATCTTGTATTTTCTGTAATCATAAGCTTATGGCATTATGATTTATTATGCTTTATTCCCTCAAAAGCACATATTACATTCCTCATACCTACAGACACAAAGCCCTACACAAAACATGGAAGTTGACATATTTGCCCTAAGTAGAAGCAAGGTGCTATTTACACAAATGCAATACACAATATTTTTATTTGTCAGTAGTTAAGTCAGTTACTGCTAAGTATCTAAAACAGGCTAAAACTAACATCAGTTGCACAGTTTTCTAACAATAAAACTTTTCTGAAACAGATTATGTTCTCCTACTCATCTTTGCTTGCATGAATTTAATCTAGAGCTCCCCTCTAAGAAAGATGACAACCAACTTTAATGCACATCATCAGTTCAAGCAAAATTCAGAGGCATATAATAACTATACTTAACATTCACTCCTGTAGAAAGATCACTGCATGACATATGGCCTAAAAACAGGCTCCTTATTTATAACAATAAATTATAAAAATATTATTTCTTTAAAATGTGTGGGGCACAGGAAAGAGTGACCAGCATTAGAGACATAGCATGCCCAAAGTTGGTAACACAAGTCTAAACACACTGGGGGCTTGGAGGCCAGAAGACTCCCAGTCATGGATACAGGTGATGACAACAAGCAAGCACTTCCTTGTCCCTTAGGACAGATGGAATGATCCAGGACAGAAGTCATACAAGTCAGCCTAACAGTTCCTAACATGATCTCCTGGAGGGAGGTGACACTGTGTGAGAGAAAGCTGGGTGGGTCAGCACAGCGGGTCCAGCTGTGCAGCACACAGCCTCAGGACCCCAGGGGCTGCCTTGTCAAAGCCCTCAGGCCTCCCAGAGCTTCTCAGTGGGTCTTGCTCCACATTCTCTCTGTAAATGTTTTAAGATTAGTCACTTGGAGAAACTACAGAGAACTCAGTGAAATGAAGACTGCTGAAGTACAACTTTAGACACAAGAACTCTGGCTGCAATGGAGGAGAGCAGTCTTTCTTCCCTCTTCTCATTCTGTCTCACCCCCCTGAGTCCAAGCAGTTCTTTACACAACAAAACAATAAATCACCTCAAGTCTCTGATTCTACTAAAAAGTAACACAAGAAATAATTTCTTCCTTTTAACGTAAGTTAGGTGAGCTCCCTAATGACTTCACCATGCAGATCTGTATGCTTGGGTCACTGTGGAAAAAGGCATCTTCTCTGAGCAGTTTCCTTGTGTCAGCCCCATGTTTGGCCAAAACTATTCCCTGAATTCAACTGATAGGATGTCAGACAGCTTATACTACCAAGCATCACAGAGAATAACATTTATTATAAGAGACACAAGAGACACCAAAATTTCCTACATCATTACAAAGAATATCTCATTTCTAGTCTATATATTTGTTGGCTACTTTATAAAATACAGTGTCTTACGATCCTCTCATTAATTTTCTATGACACAGTATCTAAAAGATAAAGAAAAAACAATATTCATCCCTTTCCATTATGAAGAATGAATAAAATTCAAAGCCAATACAGAAATGCAATAAACTTCCCATTTGACACTCTTGCAATAATTTTGTATGGTAGGGATTTCTTTATCAAATATTAGAGGCAGAAGAGGAGAAGGATGAAGATACTTATTACTGATGATGATTATTATTATTAATATTGTTATTACCATGATGATGCCCATGAAGTATTTACAGCAAAACTGTCATACCCACTTTATTCTATGTAGTTTAATACCACACACAAGGAAAACAAGGAGCAAATGCACTTCATGATTCAGTTTACATACCTTTTGCTATGCTACTCTTGGTTTACTACGAAAACATGCCTTCATGCCCAAATTACTCAGACCAGGAAACAGTCACATACAAGCTCTTGGTATCCATCACCCAAATATGAAGACAAGTATTCATTGAATCTGCTGTTCCATTAAAATCTTCCTCTAAAAAGAAGGAGACATATAAGCTTTAAACATTGTAATTAATAACATCCAAACTAAAGATGAGGGCTATAAGCTTCACTGCTATACTATTTGAACACTTAAGGAAAAGAGAGTATAAGAGCAGAAAACAGAACAAAATAATCTCACACAATCTAACTATGAGAAAGGCAAAATAGTTTGCACCTCAAAACTGCTGAAGAGCTAGTACTGCAAAGAAAACTGGAACTACAAGCAAACTGTATTAAGTACCCTCAGAAATTATGACAAGTATCAGTGGATGCAGAACCTTCCCTGAGTACAAAAAGCTGAAAGGAGTGAGAAGCTGACCGCAACCACAAGGAACCCACTAACATGATTTTACAAGAAACAAAATTTTAAAAGGCACAGGAAGAAATAATCAACATATTAAAAAATAAATACACAGAACATGACATATATTTAAATTTTATCTTCATGTCATCTTGATATTTTTGACAAGAAAAGTTATTTTTATATTTGCTCCCGAATCTCTTGCACCAAGGCACCTCTAATCTTCTACATTAAGTTTTTAATTGAAAAAAAACATTGTTTTTGGTCTCAGCACTAACTTTAACAACAGTTCAGGAATAACTATAAAGGCAAAGGCAAAGCAGCTGATCCAGCCTATCTGAATGTTACTAAAGTATGCAATACTATACTGGAAATGAACTGGCAAAAACATACATCAATACATTTTAACATTTTAATATATGTAAGAGACTACTGAGAAGGCAACAATGGACATTACTGACAAATGTTAACAGAAGGATTTTTTTAATGGATCAGGCATCATATTTAAAAACTAAAGTATAAAATATACTTTCATATATTGTGAGATAAAGTCAGACTGTGTTAATAGAAACGTGATGACAAAGTCAAGTTAATAGTTCAAAACAAGAATCCAACAGTCATTCAGAAATCACGAGTACTGATTTAATAAAGAAAATAAACTTCACTATCATGGAACTTAAAAGCATACAATTAGAAATAACAACTGGACTTAAAATTGGGAGCAAAACAAGGCAAGACAGATTCAATGACAAAAACAACCAAAGGAGCACTACAAATTACAATAAGCAGTTGTTATGCATATAATGAGAGCACAAAAGAAGAATGCAAGCCCCAAACGTCCTGTATAAAATGATAAGGACTGCTACATGTTATAGTAGAAAAGTACTTACCCTGTACACATCAAAGGATAGGAAGGCAGAGGCTGCATCCCACTGGTGTTCACCCATGTCCAACTTAATCAGTGGCCTATCTTTCCACAACGTTCAACATAGTGGAGCTCCACAACTGTTTCCTTTTCCCTACCTGGCTGGTCACAGCTTGGCTCATCCAGAGCTGACACAGGCAACCTGCTGTCACCAAACACACATCACTGGCTTTCTAGAAGCCCTTGCTGGCCTGGTATCCACATAAGGTAGGAAGGTGTCCCATCTGTCTTGTGGGACATCCACTTCAAAAACTTTGGACCTAGCTCAGCTATAACCCTGCCTTTCACCCAGCTGGCAAAACAGAAATAAAGCAAAGACATCAGAGCAGACCTGTGGCAGGATGAACACAAGATATAGGAAGAAGCAAAGGGAAGAAGAGAATACCTGAGGTCTTTAGCTGATGTATAGCACACTACATTTAACAGTCACAAAAATAGCAGTAAAATTACAAATTAACACTGGCAGTTAATAACTATGAAGGAAGTACAACACTATCTGTTGTACATAAAGGGAGGTATTTCAGAGGGCTGAAGTCAGAATCCCAGCCTCAGACACAGCAGTGGGGTGCTCTACATTTCTGGTACTGAGACAGACATTCCATGTTAGACTACATGCCCAACATTCACGATTCCTTTCCTAATATATTTGCAGCCAGTGCATAAGAAGCCTCCACCATCCCATCTAAACACTGGAGAAGCACTGCCTGACCCACAGAATCACAGAATGGGTAAGACTGGAAGGGAACATAGTGGGTCATCTGGTCCAACCTCCCTGCTCAAGCAGGGTCATCCCAGAGCACACAGCACAGGCTTGTGTCCAGGCAGTTTTCGAGTATCTCCAGTTAGGGAGACTCCACAGCCTCTCTGGTCAATCAGTTCCAGTTCGTTCACCTGCACAGTAGAGATATTCCTCCTCATGCTCGGGTGGAGCTTCCGGTACATCAGTTGCTGCCCGTTCCCTCTAGTCTTATTGCTCGGCACCACCAAGTAGAGCCTGGTCTATCCTCTTGACACCCTCCATTTAGACACTTATACAGATTGAGGTCCCCTCTCAGCAGTCTTTTCTCGAAGTTGAACAGGCCCAACTCCCCCAGCCTTCTCTTCATAAAAGAGATGTTCCAGTCCCTTAATCATCTTTCACAGCCCTCCACCGGACATCCATCTCTCTCTTGTACTGAGGAGCCCAGAACTGCACTGCGGCACAGAGGGCAGCTCTGCCTCTTCTACGGACAGCGAAAACGAAAGAGGGGCAGAAATCCCCTCAAGTCCACGATTACCTGTTACTTTTCCCAACACCGCACGACCTGGAAGGATCCCCCACCCCCCGGAAAGAGACACGGGTCTCTTAGCGGCTGGCACGCCCGGGCGGCCGCCGCTCCTGCTCTCCGCCGGCAGAGGTGGGCACCGGAGGAAGCGCTCCCACCCGGCGGGGCGCCCACGCTGGACAGCGGGTGACAAACGCCAGCTCCGACCGCTAACTGGCCCCGCAGAGCCACCTGCGACAGCAACCGCGGCGCCGGGGGCAGCGGGAGCAGCGGGAGGAGCGGGCGGCAGCCGTTGCCCCGCCTTGCGGCCGCCAGGCCGCCCTCCGCTCCCTCCTCCCAGCCGTCCAGAGAGCGGGGCGCGCCCGGACAACGCCCGCCACGATCTTCCCCCGGCACGGGTCACCCATCCCTCCTCTCCCCTCCCCTCCCTTCGCCCCTCGCTGCTCCGCGCCCCGTTACCTGGGACAGCTCCCGATCCCCACTCCGCGGGGCGGACGGGGCGGGACGGGCCGGAACGGGCGGAAGAGCCGCGGCCGCGAGTGCGGCGCCTGCGCTCTCCGCGTCCCGCGGGGCCCGTTTCCGTGCGCGCGCCATTTTCGGGTGGGGGGGGCGGGGAGGAGCGCTCGCTGCTCTGGAGCCGGTCAGACCGGGCCCGGCGGGGCTCTCACGGGGCTGTGTGTTCCCGTTGGTCCCCGCCGAGGCGGACCTGTTTTCGAGCCGAGGCGGACCCGCTGCCGAGCCGAGGCTGAGCAGCCAGGGGAGCTCGGGCACGCCTGTTCCTGTGGGCGCGGGGAGCGCGGGCGCAGCGGGGCGGGAGTTTCAAACGCTGCGTGAGGGGAGCCCGCGCGTCCGGAGTGTGTTCATCCAGCGGGAAAAATCCTAAGCACATGAGGAGCAATCTGCAAATGCTGGAGCATGCCGCTGCTGTCCTCCCGGTGCGCAGGTTTATTGGCAAAGCTGTGCTGGGGTTACGCAGAGAGAGGGGGAGAGTTGTTAAAAACATCTGGGCCTTCGTGTTTTCTCCGCCGTGTTTTTCCTCCTTTTTAAAGTCCTCTGGGTGAGACATAAAATATACGCTTAGCCGTCTTTGCAAGTTACCTTGGTAATGTGTGAACGTATCTCTGTATAAACTGAATTTCTGCGTTAAATGCTTTCTGTAGTTACTTTTAAGTAACTGGCGTTTCTGGCAGTGTAAAACTTAGTAGAGCAGAATGTAGTCTTAAAGCACTATATAAGACATAAAAGCTTTATGGGTTTAGTATATTCCGGCCTAAAGAAGGTTTTGTAGGGGGGTGTTTATGTTTACTGTTGATTATCTTCAGTGATTTCTAAGTATACGAAAAGAAATCAAGTTCAGTCTTGGTTCTTTGGAAGTTGCCGTCTCTCTAGGGCTGGAGGCTTGTGATAAATGAAGCTGTTTAATCCTAGTACACAGATCATTTGTCATAAGAGTGGTTGAGCTATTTGTACACTGAATTCAAATTTAAATGTTTTATGAAGTACACTCAAAAAAAAGCAAAGACTGGTAGGCCTTGCAGGCTTTCATAACTCACTCTTAGATATATATTCAATGGGACATGAAAAACTTATGTCCTCAAATAGCTGTACGTTATCAAAATGAAAAAGTTGGCCTTTTTGATTTTAGTTTTCAAATTTTATACTTTTTTATTATTTGCAATCTAACCAAATGTAGGGTGTTTGTAGTGTATTTGTCTTTCCCATTAGTTAATAGCCATGTGACACTCCATAACAATATTTAGAAACTGACTTAACACAGTTTTTTTTAAGAAATTTTGTTGATGCAGACTAGCAGAAACCAAATGATAACACCAAGAGGACATCTCCCACTGAAGCTGAATTATTGTGCTTGTCTTTTGGGAAGGTTTGGATACTACCCCTGTGCATTAGAGAAACTGATAATCCTGGACTTCAAGAAATTGTACTGTGTAGTTGTATGCTTAATTTGTATTTTTAACTAATGTGCTTGACATAGAACAACAAAAGCAATACTCTGTATGCATACAACTAAAATGAGGTTGAGGGATTGTAATAGTTAAAGAAATGGATTAGAGATCTAAATTCTGTGCCTGCCTTAAGTAACAAGTTGTTCAGAAAGGTAAAAATGTTCGAATGAATGTGACTATCCCTGGCTCAGAAGGAGGTGCCCCATCTTGAGCCACGTGTGTACATCGGGCAGAGCTATTCCCCAGGCATCCAGGGCCAGAATAAAGTAATGCCTTCGTCTCAGTAGTACATTGGAGTTCCTTTCCCAAATTTCAGTGTCAATCACTGCTGATTCCCTGCTTAGAGTGTTTTCCACCAGCACCGGATTAAAGCAGTAGAGAGTATGCCAGCTGGATGTTAAGAATGTCTGCAACCTGTGAGCAACCACTGGAGCAACACCATCATTTTTTTGCCTGAACTCCAGCTTGAATTTCCCAAGCCAGAATTTCTGTGTTTGACCCTTCTTGTATCACCTTGGAATGCAAGGAAAGTTTAAATTCTGTTGTCTTTGTAAACATTCCTCAAATAGCTTTAAGCTACTTCTATTTGAACAGAAAATTTTAATATGAATCCTACCTCAAATCAGGAAGTAATTGCCTTAAGAATCCTGTGGGGTTTTTTTGAATAAAACTTGGATTGTGTTTATGTATGACTTATGTTAGATTTGGAAATTAATATTTTTTCACTGGGTTTTTTTTTCCTCAACTGCATTTGTTTTTGTTTAGTTTATTAGTAATGCAACTGTTCAGTCCAAAGAAAGTATTTGGTAATAAGCCAGAGTGAACTGAAATCACTACACTTAAAAGACTTGGTTGCAAGTACTCTTAGCTCTTAAAAGTAGAACTGATAATGGCAAATATATTTATCTTCTGAACCTCTCAGTCATAATACTTTATGTCATATTCTGAAACTATTTTATTTTGTTTGGTCTTCACAGTTAAAATCTACCTTCTGACAACAGGGAAGCTAAAACAATGGGAGTGACTCATCTATGGCAAATTCTTGAGCCTGTGAGACAACCTGTCAACCTCAGTAGTCTCAGAGGGAAAACACTTGCTGTTGATTTAAGTTTGTGGGTTTGTGAAGCACAGACCGTTAAAAAAATGGTTGGAGTAGTTACCAAACCACATCTCAGGTATGGTATCCATATATATTATTCGAGCCGAAAGTCTTGGAGCTGTATAATTTAAATATGTTACTTATTCAATAGACCTCTAAGAGTAGCTCTGAAATTCTATATGAGGGGTGTTTTGATACAATTATCACTATGCTACATATATAAAGGGTTTGAAGTTAATTCTAAGTAGACCCCCAAGTTGAATTATGTTTAAATCATTCTTCAAGCATTTGAACAAACTTGAAGAATATGTATTTATTTTTTATTTAAGTGACTTACCTAAGGAATGAGCATGTCTAAGCATCTATAATTTCAAAGCACTGTTTTCTGCAAACAGTGCTGACGAAAATATATACACAAATTCTCATCAATGCTTGTTATTGGTTATCAGTACAGAATACTGAGTTACTAAATGGTGTTATACACTCCTGTGACTTCTGTTAAATTCAGCATTATATGAAATACTAGCATACTACAAAATCTCACCATTTCCTGAGAATAATGTCTTAAAATGTTTTATACTCATAAACCCAAATGGATAATTAACTATAAAACATGGCAGCATGACCAGAGTCATTACATCAGTCTGGAAGGATGTCCTGTGTGCAGTGGAATAGAAGCATCAGTCCAGATCTCCAAAGCAAGACAAAGGGTTGAACAGATTTCTACCAAAAAAATGTTTTCAGACAGCTGAAAATTAAAATTTTTTTGAGAATTTGTATTTTCAAGTAACTTATTGTATGGATTGAATTTTTACATCATTCGTGAAAATAGAACTAACCTCAAAAGATCATCTTACTGTTTTTTGCCAGTAGTAACTGTACAAAATTAAATCTAGTGTAATGGTCTCTCCATGTCAGTCAAAGAGATATAAGTGTTTGATCTACTCCTTTTGAAAGATTCATGTTGGAACCACTGGTAAAAGCATATGCTGTTTGATATGACTGCTGTTAATTTTACTGATGTAGTCCAAATATTTGTAATATTCCACCCCTCAGTGGTGTTGGTTTGCATAAGAAATGAATTGGCATGTAAGTCTGTCCAATACCACAGCATTCAGTTACTTTGGGTGTACCTGTATTGATGGATTTGGGGTTAATATTTGATATAAATGAATCAATGTAAATCTGTGTTTGGAGGCAGATTTTGGATCTTGAATGTATTTATATTAAGCCCGTTAAGTTTGTTTACATCTTTACAACCAAAAAAATCTTTCCTGTCCTTATACGGTATTTTCTTGGGAATTTTGTAAAGCTGATACAATTTCACAGTATGACAATTTCAGCCAAAGACAGGAATATAGATCAGAGGTTTGTTTAGCTTGGAGGCGAGAGAATCATTAGAGGTAAAGACAATGCTAGGATTTTTCCAGTGGTGAGATCAGGAAAATAAAAGGGAAAAAAGGAAAATGTCTGAAGAAATCAGTCTTCACAAATACTTCAGCTTATAGAACACTTTGCTTTATTGCAGAAACCTATTTTTTCGGTTCTCTTGCTTTACATCAATGGGAATTAAGCTAGTGTTTGTCATGGAAGGAGAGGCCCCCAGGTTGAAAGCAGACACCATGAGCAAGAGGAATGA